TCAAGGCGTCCTTCCCACCCTTCGGCTCGCAGTACTGCCACGCACCCCTGGGCCGCCAGCACACCGCCATTTCGCCTGGGGTCGCCCATGGACCGGCCGCCGCTGCCGCCGCCGCGCTTTACCAAACTTCCTACCCGCTGCCAGACCCTAGACAGTTTCACTGCCTCTCCGTGGGTAAGCGGGGTGGCCGCGCAGAGGGAAGGACAGGGGTGGGTGATCCGAAGCAGGTTGGGGGGCCAGGGATTGGGGAATAGGGACTCTGGGTGTTCTGGAGGGAATGAAGGTCCGTTGGGGGACCCGAGAGGGGCGCTCAGGGTGGTGGGAATGGAAGGCAGGGTGGGGGGGACAAGATGCCAGGGTGAAGAGATGCAGGACCTGGAGGGGACCTCCTGGGAGACACGAGGTCTGGGGTCCCGGACGCTTCACAATGGGGTGTCAGGACCAAATGATCCGAGAGAATCAGGATCCTGTGGCTTGGCAATGAAGCGTTGGAAGTTATGCCGCTGGGGATCGCGTTGGGGGGAAGGTGAATGTGAGAGTCTAATGTCCCGGAATTCCAGCCGCCTTTCGGAAGGAAATTGGGTACACAACCCGGGGTCTGATCACTTCTGTCTCTGCCCCGCCACCCCTTCTAGACAGCAGCTCCAACCAGCTGCCCAGCAGCAAGAGGATGCGCACGGCGTTCACTAGCACGCAGCTGCTAGAATTAGAGCGCGAGTTCGCTTCCAATATGTACCTGTCCCGCCTTCGTCGCATCGAGATCGCGACTTACCTGAATTTGTCCGAGAAGCAGGTGAAGATCTGGTTTCAGAACCGCCGGGTAAAGCACAAGAAGGAGGGAAAGGGCACCAACCACCGCGGTGGCGCAGGGGGCGCCGCTGCGGGGGCCGGCGGGGGTGCACCGCAAGGTTGCAAGTGCGCATCGCTCTCCTCGGCCAAGTGCTCCGAGGATGACGACGAATTGCCTATGTCTCCGTCCTCCTCGGGGAAGGACGACCGGGATCTCTCGGTCACTCCGTAGGCGCTCGTGTCCTTAGGCCGACCCACCCCAGGACCTCCCAGCAACGCCAAGACTGATCCCGGGATGCAGCGCTGGTTCCTAGGTACCCACTGCCAATTGACTGCCTTGCACGGATTTGGCACGGCTTTGCGGAATCCCCCAGCTCTAGAAAGAGCTGAGGTTTTAGCAGAGACCTGGCGGTGGTAGCAGGGCCTGCAGGGCTCCCGGTGTCCAAAGAGAACTCCAAGCTGGGAACGCTGCAGCGCTCCAGTCCTCTTGGGCAGTGCATGGCTATGTCACGCCCGATCAGCCCGGCGTCTAGCTGGCTACCCACTCCTCACCAGCCTTTTCCGGGCTGGCTCAAGCTTCCTCACTTCCTTTACTCTCCTATACCCTCAGTGAAGCTCGGCCTTTGATGTGGATGTCCGCTTGCTTTCCTTTTTTTAAATGTCTCTCCCTCTCAATTCTTTTCTGTGGTTGCTTAATTCACCCACACCCACTCCACAGGTTCATGAGCTTTCCTCCCCTTTCCTGCTCCCGCCTCGCTATCAGAAGTCCTTACAGCTTCAAAATGTCCTATGATATCCGTATTGAGAGAACAGATTTATTTTGTTACCGATCTGCTCTGCAATTCCCCAAGCTCTTCTCCTTTGATATCTCTCTAACCCCCAGGTCCCACCCCGCCTGGGCCTAGCTGTGTAATTGTATGGTTTCTGTAATACCAGAAGATATTTATTTATTTATTTATGTACAAAATTTTAAATAAAATTTTTTTTTCTTAGAAATGCCCATGCCTCTGGGCTCCAAGATCTCTCTGGTCTGGACTAGACAGGTGCTGGCTTGGATTGGGCCTTCCTTCTGGGGCAGGGTAGGGAAGTGTTACTAAGGGTTCTTAGCTCCAACCCTCATCTTACTGCTCCCCCAAACCCTCAGCCTTGAAAAGACCCAGGCTTCTGTTCCAGCACTGTACACTTCCCAGAGTCAGTTCCAGCCTGGCACTCCCGAGCCCTGGTCCACTGGCTGAACTAGAAGGGAAGGGGAGAACTCTTCTCCCACGCACCTGGGTAGGGACACCTACAGTGCCTTAGGCCAGGGGTGGACTCCACCTCCAGCCCTCCAGGTTTCACTTTCTAGGCCTGAAGCCGTCCTTCGGGAGAGACAGAAACCATCCCCACCCCCACCTCCCTCCTCAAGTGCAAGAAATCCATTCTTTGCTGCACCCCAATTGATAAGAATTCATTAGAGATGAATCCCTAGTCTGCAGGATAGTGTGCCCTCCACCTGAAAAGGCCCTCTTGCTTTGCTTTGAGGCAAATTCTTTTAGAGTGGTACCTGGTCACAGATCATTCTAGGTGAGAATTCAAAGTACCCAGAGCGATTCCATCCTCAGAGTTCCTGAGAGCAGCTTTGGGACCTCAGGTTCTCACCAATGCTCAACAACCACCATCTTCTGAGACTTAGAAGTCACACCCCAATCTTCCTTAAAGACACACGGAGTCCTTTTGTGTTTCAAGGTAGCCGAGAAGAAGGAGGTGTGTGAGGCATCCCAAGACCTCCGAAGGGCAGGTATTGCTGCAGCTCAGGGAATCACACCTCAAAAATGGTAGATCCAGGTTCTCCATACCTCCCAAAGACTCCCATGCTGGGTCTTGGACAACTGGGTTACTTCTAATCCACCCTTATGCCATGGGGAGCCCCAGAATCATTGTATCTGGGCAGACAAGTACATTTAGCCAGAAAGATGCTCCAGTTATAGTTGCTCAGCATTTATGGGGCTCATTTTTAAAACTCTGTCTTTTCCTTTGAATCAAGTTGAGTCAAAGGTCTCTCTCCCATCCCCCTTAGAACAAGGGTGGGCACCATGGAGAAGCCATTTCTGGTTCTTCTGGAGGAAGACACCTGGGTTGTGCTCTCACCAGAGAACAGTTCCACTTGCCTCGCAGCAATCCTCCTTCTCCATCAGTCTCCCGCCGCCCCATTCCTAGGAAGGGGACATCCTGCCATGACAAACAAAGCTAAGGTGCCTTGGGGCACACTATGAATAGAATGCCAACTAATATTTTAATGCAGTGATAATTATGATGCTTAGTTGCACACAGAGGACACAGCTGGCCTAGAATTTGATGAGTGCAAGTGTGTGTCCTCAGCTCCAGTGAGATCTTCCAGTCTGCTTTTGGCTGGGACTTCGGGGCCAAGGGCAGATGATCCCAAGCAGATAGCTTAGTGCTGGACCAAAAGATTTGCTTAGAAACAGGTTCTCCCACGGATAATGGAAGGGGTGGGCTTTTGCCCTCCGGAAAGCACTCCAGACAGGACCCTCCTTCAGAAATGCTGAGCTGAGCTGGGAGGGAAGGGATGGAAACAGGGCTAGGAGAGATACGAGGAGGCTGAATGCACCCACCACCACCACCCCACAGACCACCACCACCCCACAGACTTGAGCTTTTTCATCCAGTGGAGGGGTGGGGTTGCCCCTCCTGTTCCCAGCCGATTTCAGAAGGCAAAGATGGACTGCAGCGCGCACATCGGCACAGGTTTAGCTTTCTCAGAGTAAGTTTCTTCCTCTCTGATTTCCCTACGGAGGGCTTCTGTTCCCCGCCCCACTCCCAGAACGGTAGGCTTTGCGTTGCCCTGGCGAGCAGGTGGAGAAAACTCGGTCCCTTTGTGGCAGTGCCAGTGTTTGAACGACCGTTTGGAACGCAGCACTGCAAAGTGTGAAAGGTGCTGCGGCGCATTGGGGCTCTCAGCACCCTGGGCCGGCGTCTGGGCGCCAACACCACTGGGCTCAAACATAAAGAGAAAGCAAAACCCGTCTTGATTTCAAAGGAAGCCAGACACGAGGCTCCCCGCTCGGTCAAAGCCGCTCCTCTGCACCTGTGCTGAAGACAGTGCAGAAAGGGGCAGCAGCCTGGGGCTTCTGCAAATGGAGAGCTCAGCTGGGGGGACAGAATCCAACCTAAGCCATAAGGTTCTGCGTTGGAATTGGGTCTTGCAAGTCAAAGTACAAATTTAGAATCAAATTGGCTTACCAGGATGCAATTTCCATAAAGTATCATTTAACAGTAGCCAATACACATTTAGCCCCGAATTCATTTCAGACAAGGTCTGTCTTTTCCCTGTGATGTTTAGTGTCTAGATGTCCTGCCCCTGGAATCTGCATGCCCGACTTTGTGACCCATTTCTACATCTGCGTACAAGCTGGATAAATGACACCCCCCTACCAGTCCCTTCTAAACCACTGGTCCTTTCTAATCTTCAATTTCTTCATTTGTAAATGGGGATTATATTGGTTCTTTTGCAGGGTTGTCTAGCAATATTAAAGAAAAGAATTCACAAAATGTTAAGCACCATGTCTGCCAAATTTCAATAAACATTAACTAATATTGCAGTGGTGTTTTAATTGCTGCTTGAGGGGTCTACAGCTGTGCCAGTGACTGGTCACATATAGACTTAGGTCAGAATCAACCACTGCAGGGCTGGAGAAGAGCAAATGAAAAGATTTCCTGGACTTCCTGGAGTTAGTGGATTCAAGAATAAGGACTGTCCCCCTCCGCCCAGCACTGCTCAGATATTGAGAACCACTTAAGTCCAAACAGGAGTCCTCTTTCCACTTTTGCAGACCAGTTCCTCTACCTTGCACTATTGACCTTGTGACTGGATGAATCTCTGCTGTGGGGACAGTCCAGTGCATTGTAGGGTGCTGAACAGCTTCTCTGGCCTCTACCCACTGGGACCAGTAGTAGTTCTCCCGGTTATGACAGTTCCCTGGAGGGCAAAAGGTTGAAAACCACTCACTCAGACCAGATGATTTCAGGGGACAGGATTTGGAAGCTTAGCTCTGAGCATACCTTCCTTCCTCGCCTTCCGCTATACCTCTCTTGAACAGCTTCAACTTCTCCATCTGGAATACTGGAAATATACTGCAGCAAGGAGGTTTCAAGCAGGAAGGAAAAAAAAAGAGACAGTTTATGGGAGAGTTGAGGAGATAGCAAGGTCAAGTCCCTTCCTGCGCAGGGAGCATGCTGCTAGTCTGTGTAACCTACCTTGTAGGTAAAGGGTGATTCAGAGGTGTGTTGCCTGAGTAGAGTTAAAGGCCTCCAGAACCTTCCTGAAAGTATTCTATCCTTGTGTCTCATTGCCTATAGATGAGCAGACTCCCTGTCAGTAAGGGATAGAGGAAGGCACAAGGCCAGCCTTGGGTTCTCAGGACCTCGAAATCCCTCCAAATCTCTCATCTCTCTCTCTCTCTCTCTCACACACACACACACACACACACACAACACTCACATGCACATGCCTTCCCATACATCACTATTATGGTTCTTCCTGGATCACATGCTTTATCTGTTTTGTCAGTATTTGGGTATCTGCAGCTAGAAATCAGTTTATTTTGATAAAGCTTTCATATTTGGTTAAAAAACAAGTACCCTTGAAAATAGTAACCAGTGAGGACTAGGTGTGTAGCTCAGTGATACCTGCTTAACATATGCAAGGCCCTGGATTAAATCCAAAGCACGTGTGTGCAGACACACACACACACACACACACACACACGCTAAGGTCGGGGAGGGAATGAAATCCATAAGTGCGGACAGCCATTAGCTGTTTCTGAGAGAAGACTCTAGAAAGGCAAAGGAGTAGAAAGGCCTAAGGGACTGACTGGTGAAGGAGCCAGAAGAGCTGCAATGGCAGGAGGAGGTCAAAAGTTTCTGGGGCATCAATCGGCCTTGCCTGGGGCCATCTGCCCCAACCTTGAATTCAGAAGATAAGTGTGCCCAGTACACTCTACAAACACACTTCACCCACAAGGTAGGGGATGCCCAATTACAATGAGGCAGTGACCTCAGGAATCCAGCACTACCCCAACCCTGCAGATAGTAATCAGGGAGAGAGTCCCTAATACAATAGGCCCAGCCTCTGCAAGGGTTGCAGTGTAAGACCCTCAGGGGATACCTGAAGCTGTGAGAATATACTGTTTTATCCCATGCATCCAAACCTGTGATAAAATTTAATTATAAATTAGGCACAGTAAGGGATTAACAATAATTAATAAAACAGAAAAGTTATGACAATGTACCATAATAAAAGTTAAGCTTTATGAGTTGTTTATTTCTTGAATTTTTCATTTATTATTTTTGGACCATGATGGAGCACAGGTAACTGAGGCCAAAAAAATGAATGAATGAATTTAACTCGGGGGACTACTATATTAACAAGTGTGTGTGTGTGTGTGTGTGTGTGTGTGTGTGTGTGTGTGTGTTGCAGAGGCTAAAATGAAAGAAAGGTTAAAAACTGGTAGGTGAGTCTAAGAGGAAACTAGGCTGAATACTCTACCTCAGTGAGAATTCTATAACTACAAGCCCAGGCCCCAGTACTAGCAAGATCGTTCAAAGCTACCAATTCAAGACCCTAAGCCTCATATCTCCCAGCCTGGATCCAGGCATCTCCTTTTGGTGAATGGACATTCTCAATGCCGGGGCCATGTGCTGAAGAGGCATTTTGTTTGGCATCTACTCTGAGCAGCACTGGCAAGGGAGATGCAGCATTCTGGGAGTCCTGACTTGCCCAAGTCCAGAGTGAGGGCTGGGCATGAATTAGAAGCAAGTCAGGATTCCTTCAGGGAAGCCATACTTGGAGGGATTCCCTCTGCTGATCTGGTTGGAATCAAGCTATTAGATCAAACAACAGATTGGTCTAGGGGCCACGGCTATTCACTCACTGT